GAAGAAAAATCATTACTCATTTTTAAGTCAAAAGCCAATACTTACATTTTTGTCCCAGCGGAAAAAGAAAAAGAAGAGCACATACTTACCAATTCAAGATTTAAAGACGCAGAACTTACCTGTCTCAAGCAAAAAAAATACTTACCCTGTCGCTGCTACAGAAAAAAGCCAATACTTACCTTTTCGCTGAAAGAAAAAAGCCGATACTTACCCTTTTCTTCTCCAACTAAACGATACTTACCATTTTTTCAAGCAAGAACTTACCCGTTTCCAAATCAAAGCAATTTACCTTCCCAAGTCCAAAACCTAGAAAACCTGTAAAACAAAGAAAAAGAAGGGAAAAACGACGCCGAGTTGATTCAATCAATTTTATTGAAAAAATAAAAAACATTATGAGAGCATTTCGTTCCTTAAAAATGATGCAGCTGCTCCGTCAGGCGCCTTCATCTGGTGAATCCGGGCTGTCATCGAACTCTCGGCTTCTGAAATGAAAAATGAAATAACAAAAAGAGAGAAAATGTACTTACCTTGAATGTTGTTGAGCATTGTGGGAAAAAACCGCTCCATAAAAATTCCCCGGAACGCGCGGATATGAGTAATACGGCATCGGCGCCAGATTCCTAAAGGGATAAAACGGGAAAAAGCATTAGAATAAAAAACAGTAAATGGAGCAATGTGTTATTCACCTGGAACGTATTCCACAAAAGTCCCGTTCCCAAACACGTTCATGACACTGCGAATGCCGTAGCCCGGAGCGATGGGAATGTTGACGACCTCATGCTCGTTTCCGGTGGTAGATTCAAACTCGATATTATTAGGACAGACATCTTATCTAAATTCAAACAAGAATCACACACAAAAAATCAAAAATCACACACAAAAAAAAACACACTTTAAATAACGGGACCGCACTGTATACTTACTTTGTTATTGTAGGAAAAACGGCAACAAACACGAAATCACAAAAATACTGCCTCCTTTTAATCACAAAGCACCTAAAAACAAAACAAAACAAAATTATTAGAAATTATCACAAAAATTGTCACTTTTGAAATTTAAAATCTCTAAATTAAAACTACACTCACGAACGAATACACGATAAAAGCTTTAGCTCGATCAAAACAATGCGGTTGACATATCAAATGACAAGCCACCGATCAGATGATCATGTGATGTTTCAGCATCCAATCACAGCAAAGGCCTATTCGAGTTAGCACGGACACACACAACCGTGGTGAATATAGAATTTGAAAATTTTAAAAATTAAATCGTCAATTTCTTGTCCCTTTTCGATAAATAAGCATTAAAAAATCATTTAAATATTCATTTCTTATTAAATAAATCAAAATCTCACACAATTTGGCACTTTTGAAACAAAAAAATTGCATCAAGTAAATCACATGTAAATTGGCTACCATATTCGGGTGTATACTCGTACTTCGAAATGAAAAATCATTAGAATAAGATTTAATTTGGCTATTTTAGCAAATAAAAAATTGAAAATAGATAAAATTACCATTAATTTGTGGAGTTGCCACCCGCTCCACGCAATATTTCATCGGAATTAACGTTTTTTTGGCGAAATAATTTCACTCAAAACCACATGTTATGGCTATATGCTTTTACATGGACCACACCTAGACGCCTCACGGGGTGTCATTCAAAGCTCAATACTTGCCTTCTCGATACACTTCAGAACTGAAAGAGCAAGAAAAAACTTACCTACTTCACTTACATTCACGTTCATATCCCAATTTCACCAATAAAGAACTTACCTTTTCTGCCATTCCGAAACAAGACTTACCTTTTGAATCTCCTCATGCACTCGTACAGCTGAAAACCTGAAAGGCTGAAAGAAGAACGGGAAAAGGCAAAGCGGGGAGGAAAAAAGAAGCTTGAAATGTTTGATGGAATTTAATGCAATTTTTTTTCAAAAAAATCATTTGACAACACATGAATCGTCTGTTCTACACGATGATTGTCCGCCAGCAAGATGGTCCGTCACGGTGAATCCGGGCTGTCACGTGGAGCGCTGAAACGAGAAAAAAAGGGGAAGGGAATTATTGGAAAGGTCAAAATCAGAAAACGTCATTCGGTTGACCTACAGGCCAAGCGCACGGCGCATCCGAAGGGCGATGCGGTTAGCCCGGTCCTCAGCCTGAGCGTTGAGTTCCGCTATCCCAGCCACCGTTTCTGCTCGTCCAACGCGACGCCATACTGAAAGGAAGAAAAGTCAAAATCAGGGATTGGTTAAACAAGGTTCTAAAACCAAAATAAACTCACTTGCTTCCGGATTTGGGACATCAGGCGTTCAAACCAGCCGTTGAACGCTGGGACGTCACCAATTTGACAATGCCGCATAGACACTGGAAAGAGAGAGAGAAAAGAAGAATTAATTTTTTGTTGTTAGTAGAACGTTTTCAAACGCGATACTTTCCGCGTTCATGGATGCCAGCAGTTCCATTTGCATACACGTTTATAGTTTGATGTACTCGATAGCCGGGTGCGACGGGCAGATTTAATACAGCGGTCTCGTCGCCATGCGTAGAGTCAAATTCGATAATCAAAAAGGACATTTTCCGCCTGAAAAAGGAAAACCAAACACAAATTTTTTTTAATCAAAAATCAATTCAAAATTTTAACGCTAAAAAAGTTAAACACGGAAAATTCACTCATACAGTACTCATACAATTAATTTAATTTAGCAAAACAAAACACAAATTTAATTAATTAAGCAAAACAAAACACAAATCACACGCAAAGTTCATTCAAATCAAATAACACACAAAAAACCGATACCAATACTTTTTCACACATAACGGCATTGCACACACATAGCGGGATTTTAACAACGGAAGTTTTCACGATTGAAGTGCCAGTTATTCTATAAATGAGCTTACCATTAACATATAGTCTACAGTTATACTATTCACTCTCATTCATATTACACATGTACTCTATTTACTTTCACTCATTCCATACATTCACTCAATACACGCTTACACTCTAATCGTCACCAAGAGCTTACGATATACATCGTACGCACGCTAAGCTAAGTTGAGTTGTAGTTAGGCAGTCAAAGCGATCAGTTGTGCAAATCATAATCAATAAATACATTAAAACGCTGTAATAAATCGCTGAAGTCTTTTAAATCGATCACTTTATCATGAATTATCGCCCTAACTCGCTCCATTCCACCTGAAACCACTACATTTTGCACTGCGAACATAAGAATTTGTGACTTCATTAATTTAAGTGAAAATAAAATCAAAAAGAAAAAGACTGCTGTTAATTTCAAAATTTTCTCGCGTTGCCAAATAAAATAATTTTTTCTCACGAATCACCGTAAAAGAAAATGTGTGTAAAAAATTAATGAATTGTTGCCACAAAATCCTACTGTCTAGAGAAAAATAAAAAAATCTTTTTTGGTTTGCCATAAACTTGGGATCGCGAACATAAAAAAGTTGAGCATTAAAGTGAAATACAAGTGGAAAATAAAAAACCCCGTAATCCAAAAGTGATAAATAAAGTGAAGTTTAATGAGTGCAGACGAGAGCTTCAACAGCAACGTACGAGACCGCGAGCAGAGAAGACATCCGAGCAGTGGACGAGGAAGAAGAGGCACATCCGCTTCGAGAATTAGTTGGGCAACTCACGCCGAGTTTATCACCGACCAGAACGCCCGAGTGACGAGAAGCCGATCAACCGTTAGAACACCACCACCAATCTTGAATAATACAGGTATGTCTACAATTGTAAGAGTTTTGACCCCTGCTGATAATTTAAGAAGAAATTCTACGCCAAATCTCGATCAAGTTGAACAATCAAGCCGTGACTCTGATATTCAAAATAACCAAAATCCCAACATAGATATTTTGCAACAAATAAGACAACAAAATATACAATATTCAGTTCATCATTCAGATATACAACGTGAACAAAATAACTCTGACCCAACATCAAATCGATCAGCAGTTAATGAAACACCAATTTTGAACCTTCTCCACCAAAATCTCCCTCAAATCGCGGCTCAAAGCGCATCAAATCCATTACCAATTACTTCTAATTCCGCATCATCGTTACAAAATTCACGCGAAACATCGCCACAATCTCAAAATTCCCCCACTAATAACCAGAATTCAAATCAAAATTCTGTCGAAAATTTACAAGAATATCCTCAAAATATTACTCCCGAAACGTATCGACCAGTTATTCAGCAAAGCTCTCAGCAAGGCTCAAACACACCATCATTGAACTCATCGTTAAATTCAGCTAATGACCGATCACCAATAGCTAGTTCATCGAGAATCGCTGAAAATTCACAATCGTTATCAACTGAAAATCCGGAAAATCCAGTAAATAACGCCGAAAATCCAGCTGAAATAACTTTAACCAACAGCAACGTTTGCATTCAAAATTTAAATCCGAATCACTCTTCAAATCCGAATCAATCGGAATATATTCAACAAAGTAACGAAGAAAACGCGTCAATAGGCTCAATTCCTGCACAAAATCAAACTCCACCGAGTCAAATTTGCCCGAAATCGAAACTTTATCAGTTGCACCACCTACGGGAAATCAAATTCCACCGATAAATAATTTAACTCTTGCCAATCAAATCGCCCAAGAACCATCTCTGAGAATAATCACCGAAGCAGTAAATCAGATCCAAAGAGCTGAAAATTTACTCGCATTAACCAAAGCATACGTTCCAACACCGAGACTAACAAATAGACCTCGTATCACCGATCCGGTTTCACCATCGCTTAATAATCAAAATAATCGTGCTAGCGACAGTGGTTCGAATTCACCAACGTCTGACGAGGGCACACCATTTCAAACACCAATTGGTAACATTCATCCCACTTCACAAGTTCAGCAAATTGGTTCTACTCAGCGCAGACAGCGCAGGGATATAGGCTGGGAGATCAATTATTGAGAGATACGACTCAGCGAAATATTTCAACAATGGCAACGACACACAAGCTCAAGCGGCACAAATGCAAGCTGCGCAAGCTGCGCAAGCTGCGCAAGCAGCCCAAGCTGCACAAATTGCACAGGCCCAAGCTGCTCAAGTTCAAAACACACAGCCTCAACAGCTTCAATCGCAGCCCACGCAAAACCAACCGAATTACGTATCGCTCGACCAACTTCAACAAGTCCGAACGGAGTTAACTGATATATTTCAACAAAGATTTGACCAACTCCTGAATGCAATCAACCCAACGAATCGCCCAGGCACAAGTCAAACAGCACCACCAGCATCGAGCGCGAATAGCGAGAGTACACAGCCTCAAAATGCTCAAACCATCCAGAATACACAATTTCAAACTCAAAATGTACAATCTCAACCTCAAATTGTACAAATGCAAACCCAAATCCCAGTTCAGGCACCAATTTCTGTACAACAGCCGTTGAATTCTCAAATTATTCCACCCCACGCTCAAATTTCGAGTCAAAGTGTTCCACCGGCACAACAGCCAATCATTTCTCAAAGTTATCAACCTCAAGTGCAAATTCCAATTCAACCTCCGCTTAATACACAAACGCAACAGCCAAATGCACAGCAAAATGTTCAAATGCAGCCACCAATTCAAATTCAAACTGCGGTACCTGCACCACAAACTCCAATTCCAATCAACATTGTCACACCGTTGGGTTCATCAAATGCAAATGTTCAGCCTCAATCATCGAATGTTGCTCAAAGTACAGCTAATGTTATTCAGCAAAATGCAAACCAAACACACAGTGCATCTACACAATCAAATGCTCATGCACAAAATGTTGTACCAAATCCACCAATTTTACATACAATTGGTAATGTGCAATATTTAACGCAACCAAATAACATTCCCCAAACTATTGACAGCAATATTCAGCATCAATCATCGAATAGTCAAACGCATAGACCAGATGGAGACGGTAATAATTTGGTTAATCAAGCTTTTCCGCAAGCTCCGCCTGCGCACACTGGTACTATTCCACGCGTACGACAAACCACGCCTGCTCAGAATAACCAGCAAAGCTTTAATGATAATCAAATGCACAACATTTATCACGGTCGAGATAACTATTATCCACCCGACGATGATCCGTCTGATGGCGAAGACAGCGAAAACGGATTCGATTTCGGCAATCTCCCACGAAGAAACGCCAGGAACCAAAATCAAACCCAAAATTTGCCTCAACTTGAACGCCGTGTCGGACAGGACAGAATGTACACTTTGGATAGATTAGCGCGTAGCATCCGGCCAATCAAATCATCGGCACCAGCAGATATTTCAGCATTTATCAAAGCGGTAGATATCGCCCACATACAGACTATGTCCAGAGACGAGGACGAGTATTTCACCCGCGAGCTAAAACTGAAAGTCACTCGTGTGGAATTTATTCCAGCATATGAAATTGCTCAAACCATTTACTGGAGAGATCTCAAGGGAATGCTTCAAACGGAATACAACAATACTAACAGCAAAAGATCGTCAGAAGCGAAACTTCAAAATCTACGCCAAACACCAACCGAAACTGTTGATGAATATCGCCTAAGAGCCAGAAAGTTGATGAATGAGTTCAAAGTACATCATGGTAATGCAATGACACCAGAACTTGAAGAGCGTATAGGCAATGAAATTGCAACTAAATTCACAGCCAATATGAGAAATTCCAAAGTACGCGATGCATTGAAATTCCGCGGCACCGAGTTGCAACTTAATCAAGCGGTTGCATATGCCATCGAGCAAGACGCTATTCACAAAGAAGATGACTTCGATACCGAACTAGTGTGCGGATACTGTAGGCGTCAGGGCCACAGATCTGAGCACTGCAAAGCCAAAGAAAAGGCAATCACGGACAGCAATCGTACTGCAGGCTACCAAATGACCAAAACTTGTGGACGCTGTGGTCATTCGGGCCATACTCATCTCCACTGTGTGGTAGTAAAAATCAATCAAAATGGCCAAGCAAGAATTGGAAACGCGAATGCAAATCACAACAATGCAAATCGCAACGGCAACAACAACAACAACCGAAATGGTAACCAAAATCGTAATGATGGTCGTTACAATTCAAATGGCCGTAATTCAAACGGCAGCTCGAACTACAATAGGAACAACAACAACAACAACAACGGAAATAGGCAAAACGGCAACGGCAACAATGGAAATCGCAACAACGATCAAAGAAACGGTAACAATTTCCAAAATAACAACAACAATCAGGGCAGCGGATATCGAAATAATAACGGCAACCGAAACAATTTCAACAATCGCGGCCATCGAAATTTCAATGGCAATAATAATGGCAACAGCGGCAACAGCGGCAACAACTACAATAACGGCAACGGTTATTCACAGCCTCTGCCGCAGCAAAATTATCAAAATTTCAACAATAATAATCAACAGCAGCAGCAAAGAAATTTTAGCGTAGCAACGGCTCCTCCGCCCGGTCAAATGGCACCAAACCATGTTTTCCAACCGGCAGCGGCTGTCCCGAGATTTGTAGCACAGCGTTTGCAACATTCGGAAAACTTCAGAGGCTGAGAAGTTTGCGACACGCCTTCTCAGCCCCGATCAGAGCAGCACCTATTTTTAAGCAGATATATTTTAGCCGTGTCACTTCAAAACTCGTTTTCGCTGAAGAATTTTCCGCATATTGGGAGGTCAACACAACATTTACAAACGGACCAATAAAATTGTTGGTCGACACTGGTGCACAGATCACCTTGGTTTCAATTTAATTCATAAGAGAAGATATTACCTTACACCAGTTTTTAGTGAGTCTCACTGGTACAACGGGTAATAATAACGCTATTAGCACGAGAGGATGCTTTAATGGCGATTTGGTAACTGAAAACGGTACACATTGGCCAACCGAAATTCATGCAGTTGACGAGGAATATGCTGGTACATACCAGGGATATTTAGGATTCAACTTTTTATTGGCTTACGGTGTAATCATCGACTTTGCAAATAAAACAATTCAGTTACACAGCGGTATCAATAACGAAAATCGTACGGAAACAGCAACAATCACCGAGATTCATGGCGAGCAATCAGTTGGAAATGTTCATTTATTTCGGATGTAGCTAACTGGATTATGC